TCGGCTGCCATGGGAGAGGCTCAGATTAAACCAACTGCTGCATGGTTTAATTGGTCTGTTACCTAAGGCTTCTGATCATTTGCTTTGTACAAATGCATTTCAACAGTTTGCTGTGCTGTAAGCATCTCATAGCTGCTACTATTGAGAACCTTGCTTTGAAAATTACTTAAGAGTCATCTTTCCAGTTTAAAGCCTAGGCCCTGGCCAACCCTTGACTTTACCTGGACGGAATGTTTGCCAACAGATCCAGATGTTTTCTGTACCAAATCAGTATTTGAGTCACTTTTTGACTTTGCAATTTGACCCTATTAATATGACAGCTGATCAATTTTGAAGTGGACTTCATTTCCAGAGGTGGTTATCCAATCCTTCACTGATTTATTTTTTGTTTGTTTGTAGACTATGGGATGCTGGTGCAGTGTTTTAGTAGTTAATAGTAATTTTATATCATGTATGTTATTAATAATGTTTATTATTTGATTGATTTTTAACTACTATAGGTTTTTATTTATTGTGTATATGGTTTTGAGTTGATATTGATGTGTATGACAGAAGTACGTCTCATTTTTTTTTTTTAAAGAAAAAAAAAAACGGGGGGAATTGATGCCCTAGAAGTTTAGAAAGATTATATAATCTAAATTTACAATTGGGTGTACCACAGCTAAGCCAAAATGATTCATTAACTTTAAGGAGAGAAATGTCTGTGTTTTGTTAACAGGTTAAAAAGGTCACCTGTTCATCTGACCAGACTGTCTGCCTCTGAAAACATGAGACCCAGTGAACGGAGAAGTCACCAACTTGGTACTCCAAATGAGATCAGAAGTGGACCTGTCAGGACACAGTTGTGTCTGAAAACTACACAGACAGTTTGCCAACAGAAATTTTATGTTGTTATCATGATGTTGTGTCTTTACCAATTTTTTTTCCAGTTATTCTCTATTTTAAGATTTAGAAGGATGTGAAGAACAACCTAAACATCAATGCTTTCAACCAGTCACTGATCAGCTGCCAGCTGACATCACAGGAGCAGCAGATGTTCCAAGACTGAATCGCATTAAATCATTGCTTGTGAGAAAAATTTTGTAGAAGATCTAAGAGTATAGAGACTCCATCTAACTGTATATAAAAGCAAATTGTAACTGTATTTTACCCTTTAAGCAAAGTGCTTTCACGCTTAGATTGCATGAATACCAGAGCACGTGTGTTAGAAGTGGTTAGATAATAGTTTAAGATAAAGAGTTTTAATTTCTGTGGTAATTGTTATTTGTAGGTTATTGATAAGTTTAGTAAAGACATTATTATAAGGTGTAAGTATTCCCCCTGCAAGAGTTAGTGTAAGCATCTTTGAAAGTTCATTTAATTTTAAAGCCTTAACTGTGATTCTGCAAGCATGGTGTCATTTCCATGGAACAAACTGCTTATAGTAATTGTACTGTGTATAGTCCCAGCCAGCTATCTGCTAACTAACATCCAAAAGCGACAGAACATATGGGTCACTCTGGCACACTTGACAGGCCAAAAACCAATGTGTCTAAGCCTAGCCACACCTGAAGATCCTTCTCGCACCTGTATCATGGGAGTCCCTGAATGGGATCCTCAAGCATTTAAAGGTTTAGTTAGTAATGAGACTCAACTGAATCAATCGGCAATGTTGCAAGAGTGCAATCGCACTGTTGGCTTCACATCAAGACAACTTGAAGCCTGCTGGCAAGCAAAAATTATCAAAGTTCTTAATGTTACCATAGGGCCCCCAGAAGAATTGGATTTGTTAGGTTCCACCAATACCTCAGGTAGATGGATAATGTTTGAGCCCCCAAGAGAAAGCCACTCCAACAAAGTAATGCAGCACTGGGCTACAGTTAACCCTATAGTTGATGTCATTACTAACACTAAAAGTAAAGCTTTTTATTCATGGTGCAATCTCACAGGACGATTGCCAAAGCGATTACCTAGTTCAATGTTCCTAATCTGTGGAGATAGAGCATGGAATGGAATTCCTGCTAGCCCACATGGAGGACCCTGTTATCTTGGGAAACTTACTTTGTTCCATCCAAGCTTACACCAATTGCTGAATGTAGCTGATACAATAAAAAACGTCAAACCACCAAAGCGAAGCCTGAATGAATTACAATGTGATGATGTTAGAGACCCAGACTTTTGGAGTCGTGGTATAATATGGGCAGCTTCCTTTTTACTCCAGGAGCAGCTGCTGCTAAAGGCTTGTCAACTTTAAAAAGGCTCACTTGTTGGACTAGGAAAGAATTGAACTTAACATCAACAATGTTACGTGAACTTTCAGCTGATATGAGCAGTGTACAGTGTTGCAAAATTGAGCTGCAATTGACTTCTTGCTCTTAGCACAAGGACAAGGTTGTGAAGAGTTTGAAGTCATGTGCTGTATGAATCTTACTGGTCATTTAGTTTCCATCCATAAGCAACTACAACAGCTACAGGATGGGTTTCATGCCCTGAAAGAAGATAGTGACCCCTCTGGAAGTTGGTTCGCCAGCTGGGGCATCACTGGATGGTTGAGGTCTCTTGTGCTAGAAGGGGGACGGATTTTACTTATGGTGTTAATTGGGATGGTGGTTTTAGGCTGTATGGTACCTTGTCTTCGTAGAAGTGTAGAACGAGTTGCGTCCAAAGTCTGGCTTGGGCAAAAAGACAAAGGGGGAATTGTAGTGATTATTTTAACAGAAGGCGGGCATGATATTTTAGTAAAAGCCTGTCTGCACAAACCAGCCTTTGGTATAAGTAACAATATTAAAGGTAATGTCCTTGAAACTCTCCTGAAGCAGAGAGAATGAAAAAAACTATAGCCTTGTATACAGGAAAAAGAAGGTAAACAATACGTATTAGCCAAGAGTAGCTTGTTAAGCCTGCGGACCCTGTCGGAACCTATAAAAGTGTGCTAAAGATAGAAATAAACATTCGCTATACTTCTGTGAAGACTCAGTGAATAGTCTGACCGGTTTCTCAATACCAGAGTATCCATCCTTCCTTTCTTCCATACCCATAAAATGTTGCTTCGATCGCCTGGTTGGACATAACCATGCAAGCAGCCCACTCCTCCAACATGGCCCCATCCAGAGCAGGAGTTCTGGGGCAATGTGCATCAGGACCAGCTACTCAGGAGACCTTTGTTGTACGAACAGCCACATCCCATCTTCCCTGGAAGGAAGACTCCAAAGACCTAATCCAGCCACAGGACTGCAAACTGGAACCAATTGTTAGAGGGAACATCAGTGGGTTCCAAAACAATTTTAAAAAAAACCTACAAAGCTCACAACTGCCAAAAATTAGTCTCCAGAAAATTTTTCCAGGAGGTTTGGATTAAGAGATAAAATTAGAACAGTACCATTTGGTGCAGTAGGTGGTGACCAGACACCAAAGTATTTTGGCAGATATTCCCGCAGTTCCAGAAGAATGCTGTCACAACAGTCGGAGTCATACACCTGAAATAAAATAGGGAGGGTTGGAGAGATCACCATTTCAAACATTCATTTTTGCTGGTGGGGAAGTAAACAAGCAGCTGCATGGTACTTGGTAGCTGCCTGGGGCTAAACTCTGACAACTTCCAATTGTCCCACAATTATACTTTCTTACAGTCTTTGTTTTCATAAGTCTAAGATATTTACCTTACATTTAAAAAACATGCAAGGTGAAGATAACAATTATTACAGTTCAACATGAATGAATGGCACCCTTTCTCTCAAATTTTCAAGTGGCAACGATGCATCAACCCTAAAGACAATTTATGGCTTTACTGGAATAAAAATCTAAACTGTAATTGTTAACTCCAAAGCCTAGCTATTGAAAAAGGTGTTCTCACATTTGCATTCAAGATTGTATAGGATTACTGCATCATATTATATTCCAAATCTTTTTAATTTAGATCAGGTGAAATACAGAAGCTTAGAGTAGATAGCATTTTCCCATCTTCTCCAAGACAATTCATGCTGTAGCTACATCACCCAGACTGTGCACAATTCAAATACATTTCATTTGCTTCAACACTTTCAACATTTTTGTTTAACTTCTGTAGGAAATAGAGTAAAAATCTGGAAACAGCAAATGGCTTATATTCTTGAAGGAACAACTCTTTGCAGTTAAAAGAAAACTTTGGATACTATCTGTTATGGAATTGCATGACTGTTACCAATTTGCAGCATTGAAGAGGGTTTCAAAACCATTCCCTTGCCCAGATTTCCCCCATCCTACCCAGTGATGTAGTTCCAGACATAGGGAATTGCCTATACCACACTTCCACACACTTTGTAGACTGAAAGATCTATATCCACACCAGTACAGGTTACAATGACTGTTACTGCATTTAGGAGCCATCTCATCCCACTCCCCATAGAGATGTCCCAGTCCCATCAGAGAGGTGTCCTTCCCCTCAGCCCTACCATGGCCACACAGCAATACCCATGGATGCTGTACAGTGACTGGGGCATGCTCAGGGTTTTGCTGCCACTGCAGTGCAGCCAGAGCCCACTGCAAAGCTGGCAGCAAGGTAAAAAAAGTCACGTGTTAACAGCTCTGCAGACTTGGCTCCGCTTATTGTGTCAGGCCACATTTAACTGCAGTGGGGCATACCTGGCAATAGCAGTGACGAAGGAGAGGTATCGCAAAACACCTGCCAATAGTGTTAATACAGCTAGGGAGGAAAAAAATGGACCTGAAGTCCAGATGCTGTTTTAGAGCATCAAGGCAAGCCTTGGCTATCCTCACCAGTGCCAGTAACTTGAGACAGCACCTCACGCAGCAGCAGTGCTGAAATTAGTTAATGTGAGTTTGTCCTAAATTTAGGCTTCAATGCAAAAACCTCAAACTAGATAAACTCAAATCACCAGTGTGCTTCTAACAGAGGGACTTCTCCACAGCTAATGCAGAGCTCTCCTGGGCTTGCACCAGCCACAGTTTTGCCACCCTCACTGTTAGTGGGCAGTGATCAAGACCATGATAAATTCTTGCTGACTGTATGGAATTTGACCCATTCCTTTAACCAACTCAAGGTATAGGCCCCATTTAAAAGATCCTATGGAAAGGGGCCAAATCTTGAAAGCTCAAACCACACAAATATGTGAAGGGTGCATTGCAAAACTCTAGGGTATGCCAACAGCACACCCTCTGCCACTACTGTTTCTACCTTAAGTATAGAGAAATTGCTGGGTGTGTATCTTTCAGTGTCACAACACAGGGCACTGATCTCTCTTCATGTCATGGTTTAACAAGCTGGCATGACCACTGAGGATGACACATAATTGTATGTCTAAGTCCAGTTTCCCTCCATGTTAGCACAAGCTGGTATGCTGGTACATTGTGCTCTAAGATGAAAAATACTGCTTGGCCCTGTGATCAGAGTATTTATGCAACATTTCTTCACTAAGCCTCAAGGGCTGCCAGCAGAGGTCAGTGTCTTCTCCAGAAGACTGCAAGGTAGCTTGATTTTACTCATTTAAGGAAGAAAAGAAGAAGCTAAAGGTAGAAAAGAGAGGAAGACTAGCACCAGACAGATGCTGAAGCACAGAACTGAACACTGCTCTCTTTGATAACAGTTCAGCATTCCCCACTGTACAGACAGCAGTTTCTGGGCCAGTACTCCAAGCACTGGTGCTAGTACTTCATGCTGTACACAAGTAGTACAAAGCCAATTTTTGTTTACTGTGGTAGTTTATGATCATAGCACCTTACATCCAAGGCAGGGCACTTCACTGTTCCCAGTACTAATGCTCTTTTCCTAGATAAGTTTGAGAGGATCTGAGAGGCAGAAATCATCATACCTTTACATGGGAGCAAGTGCATATATTTAGGTCAAGAAGAGAAACCAAAAGTACAACAGACAACAAGGAGAAACATTGAATGCAACCAAAAAAATAGGCAAACATAGTAATTTGTTTACTTAATTTATTAGCAAAAGATTCTGAGCAAGTGAAATGTCAGGAGACCACTTCAGTTTTTTGAGACAGTACCCTTGACTTACTTTTTATCACCAACATTAGGCAATTAAACTTTGCAACTTAGCAATAATAAGTATGCTCCTGTGTATTTCATACAGCAGGATACAACAAAGATACTCAGATAATTTATAATGGGGTGTGATGTCCCAAAGTTGAGACCAAATGGGAAAATACAGCTCCAGAAGTAGTATCTTCCAAGTAGTCTATTCCTCAGTACCCTGATATAAAACATTTTAAATGGAGACAGAACTCCCAATAATGCATTTTTCAGTATCACTACTTTGATGTAATAGAAATAACTGCATTATTTCTGTCTCTCTCAAGTTATCTTGCTCCAAGAACCAGTAAGAAACTCCCCTCGTAAGTCTGACATAACATATACAAGGCACTTATTTGACCTTAATATAGATCTCAGTCTTAGCCTGTAATGTATCTGCATGTCAAACAAGAATAAGCACTCAATTAATAAAGATCAGAGAAGTCACTTGGTGTGGGCAAAGCAACAAAACCAGACATTTCAGAAATGATGCTCATTCCTGCCCAGGACAGAACCACTTCTGCTCATTAGAATGGTGCCTCATAAGCAGTACACATCACGGGCATTTCTTCTCATTTCATACAACCTGGTAGCAAGCCACAGAATACCAAATATGAATGTAAACATGACAAAACCATCCCCAAAACTACACAGGGACTATACCATGCACCTCATGACCCAAAAGGTATTGCTACTAATACTGCTGGAAGATTCATGAAAAATGCAGGTTATCACTTACCTCAGGAAAACCTCAGTAAACAAACCATTAGATTTTTTACTTATATCAGCAATATTCTAATTTTACCTCAAGAAACAGTGTTTTGGTTTTTTTTTTAATGTAATAGTGGAGGTCCATCTCTCCAGCAAACACTGACAAATACAAGCAATTTCTGCATTAGCATACATAACATCTTTATCCAATAAATCAAGAAATGCAAGACAATTCTATGTCAGCTCAGCCTGGAGAGTTATCCCTTCTACATATCACAGGCTACATTCTTCAAATAGCACAAACTGGAGACCTAAAACATTTCCAGAAAAGCAAGTAAATAGGATGCTGACATTTGGAGGGCTCACAACATGACCATTACAAATTACAGCCACTAACTCATAGGAAGAATATGCCCCAGGTATGTTCTATGGTGTGGCGAGGTGCCTCGGGGAAGACAAAAAGTAACACTGTCCCACCCCAAACCCCTTGTGAAGGACAGCCCAGGTATGGTGTGGCGAGGTGCCTCGGGGAAGACAAAAAGTAACTGTCCCACCCCAAACCCCTTGTGAAGGACAGCCCAGGAGTTCTGACTGGGTTTGAGTCCCTGGGGGGGTTTCTCCCTTGCTGTGTTTCTAGTGGTCCCTGACCCTGAACTCCACCCTCAAAGGTGGAGACCCTCAAGACTTCTGTCCCTCGAAAACCCCGGCTCTGCCTCTGTTCGGGGCTCTCTGTTCTGGATCCGAGTTTGTTCCCATGCTGAATAAATAGTTTCATGAACTGGGAGCCCGTCTCATTGGTGTTCCATGCTGGTCCCCAGAACCCTGCAGAGCTTCCTGGACGAGATCCTGAGGTTGCAGACTGCAACACTATGGCAGCTCAGATAGTCTAATAGACACCACGAAGTCGTAATTTCTAGTCATGCAGACTTTTTAATTCCAAGGCAAATTTAGCATCCTTAAGTTTTTAATCCAAAGTGCACTCTCGGGTTTCTTGTAACAGATTCATCTGATTTTAAGGCAAACAGGGGATGCTTAAGACAATGGGAATGTTCTTTTCCTTATTTAAAACACAACATGAGAGTTTTTTCCTAAAGACTAGCTAATGACCTAAATGATAGGGGGAAGGTAAAACAGGTGTTTAAATTTCAATCGGAAACTAGTTCTGGCAGTACAGACTTGTCTTCAAATGTCCTGATAAAAAAATACCACTTTGACAGAAAAGTAATCTATAGAGAACCTTCTAAAGTACATTCAAGAATTAGTTTAAAAGAACATGTACTTTAAAACTATTTGAATAGGAAACTTTAAACGTCAGAGTAAACATTATCAGTCTGAAGCATCACCTTTCTTGTTGCCAGATACCATAAACTGTCCCTAAAGGCAGCAGTGCTACAGCCTGCACATAATAAGGATACACAGCCAGCTGCCAAAATCAGAGACATTCACTGTCCATTGTGGGATCTGTGACTATTTTGAGCAGTTAATGCAGTTAAGTCATGAACTTAAATTAGCAAATGCAAGATTTACAGATGGTAGGGCAACCTTAATTCCCTCTTCCATTGAGTATGTATTATATCACAGACTTTAATTACCTGAGCACACACTGCATTTCCCTCCAGACTCTTACATCAGCCAGTTACAACAGGAAAGTGCAAGGGTCAAAATATTGAGGTTGAAACAGCAGCTGTGATTTTAGCAATTCATATCTGCTTGGTTCCACAACTCAGACAGCCCTGTTTTTTTT